ATGTCATTGAAGAATCACTGAATTGAGAGTTAGGGTTTGGGGTTTTAGTTCCATGTTTGTAATTTATATTTTGTTTAATTTAGGGTTTTTGTTATATATCAGTTTATGTTCCATAAAATATAGTACAGGTGTTTTGAGGATTAAACAAAGTAAAGTTTGTGAAAGGTTTGGCACTGTACTCAGTCTATCAAAAGCAGTGCAAGTAGAGGTTAATAATGTGGGCTGCATAGTCACACTGCTTGTGTTCAGCCATGTAACCTTGGGAAAACTATTTAACCTCTGTGTGCCTCCCTTTTCTTACCTGTAAAATGAAAATAATTCTAATGCCTATCTCACAGAGTTTAAAGAGTAAATGAATATGTGGATGAAAGTTTTTTATAACAGCATCTGCAACAGAGTATTTCTCAATAATTATTAGCCGGTGTTCTAGAAATATTTGTTGAATCTGAGTCTGTTGAGACTGGAGAGGAATTATTTGTGGGAATATTTGGAGATATAAGAGAAAGATCTTTGATATTCTGAGTTTAAGAGGTATTCTCATAAGTAATTGGGAGGAAACAGTTCTTATTTTAAATAATCAGAACTAAATAAGTATGATTGGGCAGTTATCATTGTCTGGGTCATTGTGCTGTTTATAAGCCTCACCGATCTGATGATAGGAACTCAGTGCTTCCGGAATGGAAAACATACATAATATACTTAAGGAATCATGTGGAAGTAACCAAGCCAGAGAAAATGATGTAACAATAAGGAGGAATAGAGTTTAAAAGAATATCTATAAAGGACCTTAAAGAATATCTACTGGTATAAAGGAACGACTGGTCACTATGATGTGCACTGACCACCAGGGGAAAGACTCTCAATGTAGGAGCTGCCCCCAGCCCACAGGCCTCAGGCCAACCAAGGCAGGTGCCAGTGGTCCCTTGCCCCACCCCCCATTCACCCCACTGGTCACTCCATAAATCGACCCTGATTGTCGGCCAGGCCTAGGGACTTTATCTGAATTTTGTGCACCAGGCCTTCAGTTTTAAATCGAATCATATGCCATAGACATTGTAGTAAACCCTATTTTGAATAAAGAAATATGTGTATATACATAAATATTATTGACATATTGTACTGTTAGTTGAAAAACTACCAACTTGTTGAATTAGCATTGCTTTGGCTGGTGTGGTAGTAATGCTTCAATAAGGAATGTCTGCAAAAGTTGGGATTTACTGAGGCTGATGACAGTTTGCTTTTGGTGATTGTTATCAGTCAAAAGACCACATTAACAGGCTAATGAAAATGAGCCATAATCATTTCAATATATACACTGAGTGGCCAGATTATTATGACCGGCCAGATTATTATGACCACCCCATCAGTACTTCATTGACACTTCCAAAAATACTGAATATTGAAAACTTCCTAAGCAAATACTCTCAATGTTTTATTATTATTATTATTTGCATAACTAATCACTTCATTGTACTGATGGGGTGGTCATAATAATCTGGCCGGTCGTAATAATCTGGCCACTCAGTGTATATTGTTTAATCCATTTGATAAACTCAACACCCTTGTGGATAGAGGGGATACATCCTTAAAAAAAACAGGTACAAATTCCTTTATCTAAAACAAGTGGGACACTTGGAATTTTCAGGTTTAGAAGGTGACATGCTGCATGCACCAAGTGTTTCAACACCTCCAGGGAGTTCAGAGCAGCATTCTATAATCTAACATGTGAATGTCTCTACAGCAATGCTATGCAAATGAAATCATTTGCAATTGGCTTTTTTCCACTTAGCATAATCCTCTGGAGATTTACATAGAATTTTGTGGGTATCATTCATTTTTTAATTGCTGAATAGTATTACATGCTATGAATGTACCTTAGTTTGTTTAAACATGCACCAGCTTAAGGACATCTGCGTTGTTTCCAGTTTAGGATATATATATCCTAAACTGAACCACTAAACGACTGAATGACTGTTTGACCGGTTGCTATGACACGCACATTCATGTATAGGTTTTCATGTGAACATAAGTTTTCATTTCTCTAGGATAAATGCACAGGAGTGCAATTACCAAGTTTTGTGTTAATTGAATGCCCAATTTTAAATATATAAATATATATATTATTGATTTCAGAGAGAGGAAGGGAGAGAGAGAGAGTGTTTTTGATAGAGTAGAAGTATCTTATTGTGGCTTAATAATAGATCTCCCTATTTTTACCACCTTTGCCCACCTCCACCTATCCCCCACCCCCTTCCATCTGGCCATCACCACACTCTTATCTGTGTCTATGGTTTATGTATATATGTTCTTTGGCTAATCCCTTCACCTACTTTCATCCAGTACTCCTCTCCTCTCTCCCCTCTGACAGCTATCATTGTGTCTTCTGGTAACATATTCTCTTCCTTTCCCTTCATCTGAGAATAGCTAAATTTCTTTCTCATTCCTGAAAGATATTTTCACTAGATATTTGATTCAGTGTTGAATGTTTTTATTATTTATGTGTAGGGTAGATAAAGGGACAATTAGCTTCGGAGTTATAAGTGTCACAAAGCAAGTACAGGAGAGTATGGAAGCAAATTGTAGGTAGACCTAGGATGAGCAAAGAAAATGTACCAGCAGAAGTAGTATTTAGGCTAACACATGAAGGAATCAGACAGGTGTAAAATGGTGGGCAGTAGTGAAGGTCAGGGTTGCAGAAATAAGAAAAGCCAAGACCTAAAAGATGATTAGCACAAGGTGACATAAAGAAGGGGTCACATGAGGAAGTAGATTCATGTTTACCAATCCACATCTAACCAATCTGTGACTTTTCTTATTATACAGGTTTATGGCTACATAAAAAGTTCTACAGAGGCATGTTTCTCTCTCTTTCCCCCTCCTCCCTCCTACCTATCTCTCCCTCCCCCCTCCCTTTTACTCTCTCTAGAAATCAATGGAAAAAATATCCTCAGGTGAGGATTAAAAATAATAAGGAAATAAAAATGTTCAGTTGATGGGCTCAACAGCAGAATGGAGGGAACAGAGGAAAGAATAGAGAGGAGAGTTCAGTAAGGAGAGGAGCCAGATAGTGGGGCTGAAAAAGTACTCAAAAAAGTAATGGTAGAAAAGTCCCAAATTTGGCAAAAAACAACAACAAAAAAACCCAGATCTACAGATTCAAGAAACTGAGTGGATCCTAAACAGCATAAGTCCAATGAAACCCACAAGACCAATTTCTGAAAATTGAGGATAAATTAGAAACTTTGGAGCACAAGGTAGGGGCACACTAGTTTTCAAGCACTGAAGAAAAACATTCAACACTGAATCAAATATCTAGTCAAAATATCTTTCAGGAATGAGAAAGAACATATATACATAACCCATAGACACAGATAAGAGTGTGGTGATGGCCAGAAGTAAGAGGGTGGGGGATGGGTGGAGGTGGGCAAAGGTGGTAAAAATAGGGAGATCTATTAATGCAAATTAAGCCACAATAAGATACTTCTACTCTATCAAAAACACTACAAAAAAAACCCACAACAAAATGGTGGAGACCATGTAGACATAGGAGAAGATGGTGAAGGTGAAAAGGAGGACAAGAATGACAATAGCCCAAAGCAAAGTCCACTAGCCCAGTTGTGGACATGTCTTTGCAGGCCAGTTTGGAACTGATGAGATGTTACAGTAAAAGTGGTTCATGACATTGGAGCCACGGAAGGTGACATGAAATGAAACAGACCTTATCTCAGTGTTCATGAAACCAGTCATATAGGAGGAAGCCACCAGCTGCACACATTAACCTGTGGTCGTGATGACCGGGTATCAAAGAGGACATGTCTGTACATTTCCTTTATGATAATGAGAACACAGAAATATGCTAAACTTCTACAAATAAAAAACTACTTGAATAATTTACAGCTAATGCATTGTATATCTACCTATGAAAATCTTTCTGAATCAGAATATTTTCAATATTTTTAGTGTTTGTGGTAATATTTTTTCAAGTTTCTTTTTGCCAGCAAGGCTGAGCCAATTTGTACCTCCCCGTGATCCAGTGAAGCTGGAAGGGTTTAGTTCCTGCACCTGCCAATCCTATCTGTCGGTGTGACTCATGTGCCTTTCCTCTACTTATAATTCACACCAGGATGATCACTTCCTGGGTTCCATTACCTCATAGGAAGCAGTTGGTAGCCTGCAGCTAGAACAGATCTCATCCATTCTGAAGTTTTTCCCTCCTGAAGCCTGTGCTTCCCTGAGTGGCTTCCTCCTCCTGCTTCCCTTTCCTACACCTTCTGTCTCAGCACCAAAACCAAGAGCAAACCCAGGAAAGGGCATGTAGAGAGATGCCAGTTCTACCTTTGTTTGTTTGTTTGTTTGTTCGTTTAGATATAGGGTCTCCCGCAAAAGAGTATGCAAACATGTTGAATAATTATAAAGGCAGAGTTTATTAAAATATATTTTATTTTCAAAACTGAGCTATCAGCTGTTAAAGTGTGTATATATTTTGGGGGGACACCCTGTATTAATGTTCAGTCATGTCTTCTGCTAAGTCAAACCTTCCCATCCCACCAGGATGAATAATTCATAAAGCTTCTTTATGTAAATTACATAAAATCCAGCTGCTGGCTGCTAGTTTGCACTCCATCCTTCTTCCTTCTCTTGGACTGGTTCCTTGGTGGTGCCTTTGAAACTCTAGTCCCTAAATTAGGCCCCAGAAGCTCCTCTGGACTTCATAAAAGACATAGATCCCAAGTTGAAGGATGTTTTCTAAGACAAAACCTCCTTTCTACCCATCTCTGTTAGCCTTCCCAAACTCAGTATCCTGGCCCTGGTACAAGTGCAGAGTATGGCGCAGGGCTCTCTTGACCTCCTGGTTTCGCAAGCAGTAAATGATAGGGTTGAGCAATGGTACAATGACAGCATAGAGGACAGAGACCAGCTTGTTGGTGTCAAAGGCTGAGAGGGCCTTTGGCCGGGCATAGATGAAGATACTGGCTGCATAGAAGATGACCACAACAGTCAGGTGAGAGGCACAGGTGGAAAAGGCTTTATGACGCCCAGCAGCGGAGCGGATGCGCATCACCGCACCAGTGATGGCCATGTAGGAGGCCCCAGTGACCGAGAGTGGTCCCAGCAGGATAAAAATGGCCAGGACAAAGTCTGTAAGCTCTGCTATGGACTTGTCCGTACAGGAAAGATTGAGCAATGGGGAGACATCACAGAAAAAGTGGGTGATTC